CGACGATGGTCAGGGTGTTGCAGACGGAGCGGAGTACCAGAGGTCATTGGACAGTCAGGTTTGTTTCTAGCTTGTTTTCGCTGTCTGAGGTTCTAAATTTTTGTGTACACAGATTCGGGTTGAATTGTTTATGCAACAATATAATGCTCTTATTGCTGACCGAAAGGCTCGCTACGTCGCTGAGCGGACGCTTCTCAACCAGCACGATCAAAGGTATGCTCCTTCTTTTTTGGTTTTGCTTATACCTCCTGATCTCGCATAGAGAAAAGAGGCTGCGTAAGACTCAGGCTGCCATTAAAGCCGCTGCAGATGCGGACATGGAAGAAAATCCTCTCCGAGATGTCGAACTTCCTCCTGAGCAACAAGTTGTCAAGTCAGAGTTGAAAGAGAAGAGGACCAATTTGTTAGAGCTTCATCAAGGGAGGGCTCTACGGTCTGTAAGTCAGCTCCCATTCCTAAGAATGATGTTTTGAGATTAGTTCACCTTGTGTTTAGATTGAGTTCGCGATGAGAGATGCATTGCAGAAGATTCCAGATGGGAAGGCATACGACCCCGAACGGAATCTTATCAAGATGAATTTAGAAGCGTTACACGCGTATCTCGTGGATGAAGGTAAACATCCTTCATCCCTGCCTCCTATGTTCAACGAATGCTCATCTTATCTGTTTCTAGCTAAACTCATGGAAGTTCTCAATGCTGACCTGGCATTAATGCGCAAGGCCTTCAGTAAGTCACCCATGCTCTCTCCTCCCCCAAAGCTTATCTCACCGTGCCTATTAGATCAACGAATTCTGTACTTCCGTCAACTTCAAGAAATCTCTGACTCGGTCGCCGAAGTCGGCCCGGAAGAAGGGCACACCATTGCAGAGTCCGTCGAGATGGCGAACGAGGACGAACGAGGCGTGGAGGCGAAGATTAAAATGGCCCGTGCGAGACAGCGCTACCTGGACACCCTTGCGAAAAACAAAGGCAAAATCGATGACGATGAGGAAGAACAGTGTTGCACTGTGTGCAAGTGTGAATTTGCCAGAGGATATCTAACGCAATGGTGGGTTCTGGAAATTTCATGTTCTCCATGTGCCCAATTTTCATTTTTATTTTTTTAGTGCGCATGTATTCTGTGAGGTTCGTTCCATCTCTTTGTTCGCTTACGGCATAGCCTTATCACTTTCCTTAACATAGCCATGTCTGAAAGCCTGGATAAGTCGAGGTGGTGCACGTTTATGTCCGGTCTGCCGAAGTCCCATCGACGTAAACAATCTGCAACCTTTCACGACAGACGAACCTCAAGCACCTCCACCACCCCAAATCGTCAACGGAGTATACATTCCTAAGTCTCGACGTGTCATCGAGTACAACATCATGGGTACGTGTTCAGTTCTCAGCTCTTCACTCTGAATAATGTTTACATCATTCCAAAGACCGCAACCTCTTCGCCATAATTCAAAATCAAGAATCTTATGGCGACTTTGGCAACAAGGTGCAGAGTGTGGTACGCCACTTGCTTTACCTTCAGGATGCCGAACCCGGTTGCAAGAGTATCGTTTTCTCAGCGTGGGCTGATTCACTGCTGAGTGAGTATGGTACTTCTCTTCACTCTCTTGGACACTAAACACCTTCATAGTAATGCAGCAAGCTCTGGCCCAGAACGGCATCAAGTCAATACGGATTGACCAGAGCCGTGGCAAAATCCCCGCACCTCAACGATTCAAGGACGAAGCAGACATCTCGGTTCTCCTCCTTCACGGAGAGCGCGAGAATGCTGGTCTAAATGTTACATGCGCGTCTCGTGTATTCTTGTTGGAAAGTGTCGTGCACCACGGGTTTGAAATTCAGGCTATTGCCAGAATTGACAGAATGGGTCAGAAAAAACCAACGGAGGGTAAGTGATTTCTTTATTGCTCTCAGTGATCAATTCTAATACGATGCCAAGTGTACTGCTACTACACTGAAAATACGCTCGAGAAGAACATCCTTGACCTTGCCGCCAAGAAAGGACTATCTCTGTACACCAAGGACAACTCTGTTGGAACCCTTGATTCTTCGTTCGCTGCCAAAGAAGAGCAAAGTCAGGAAGTTGAGGCTCCGAATACGTCCAAGACAAAGAAGGCGAAAGCTGTTATGAAGGGCGACTTTGTCATGAAGTGAGCTGCCACTTCTTCATTGCGCTTAGTACAGCCTCCTGACCATATTTTCAATAGGATGGAGGATATGCAGGCTATTTTATGGCCCCATATGTTTGAAGATGTAGAATATTTGATTGACCCTGAGGACATTGATATGCATGATGGGACGAGTAGCTCGTCCTCTTGCGACGCTGTTGCTGGACCGTCTAACCTTCAACGCTGAATGTACTTACGAGATCTCTGATTAATTATATGTAGATATATATTTTTACTTTCATATTCTTTGTTACGTCTTGGGACTTTTGTGTGTATGTATTTCTGGAAAGAGCATTGGAATAAATGATGTCTATACATGTATGGGAGATGCTCAGAAATGCTTCGAAAACCTGGTATACAGTTCACAGCATCCAGTTCATTCTTCCATTGTCCTTGCCGCGAACCAAATTACAGCCCACTTCTAGCTTTTCCACGGAGTTTTGGGAAAGGGAGCCAAGGACACACCTTCATCCACATCTCTTGGAGTCTTTTCACTCTTGGGACTTTGCTATCAAAGGTTAGGATGCTATCCTGACCCTGGGGAATCTCATATCCATAAACAGTAGTTTTCAAATCTGATCCCCCCAAGGGTCTTTCCATTGAAAACTCTTGTCGAGTACCCAAGCTCCAAGGGTGCCTGGTTTTCACAACCAATCTCTCCAACGACGATATACCGTTTCCTTCCTTCCACAATCTTCTAAATATCTCCTCGGCGGTGGGAACGGTGATAGGCATTTGTAACCACAGTGTCTTCTCCCACTCTTCGATCTCTTTTTTGGGTAGCTTTAATTGTCCATTGATGTCGCTGCCTTCTTGTATTTCCATCAGTGATTCCTTTGGGTTAAAGAAACTAAATCCACTGCCAAAGTTCAACGTCAAATGACGTAAACTTGGTGGGAAAGTCGTGAGAATATCCAATGCTTCGTCATTTGCCCGTCTGACGCAAAGAGAAAGGCGTTGGAGTATCGGACATTTGTCTCTAATGACACGAATGCTATCCCTTCCAATGGAGTAAGACGTTGGATTCGCATCACCATAGACGAGTGGGAGGTCGTTCCGGAGATCGAGGCTGTTCAAGGTTGGTCCATGGGCGTCCAGAAATCCGGTAAGAATGGTCTCCGGAATTGGACTGACAGTTCGTAGAGTGAAGCTCTCGAGAGATGTACCTGTGCACCTGTCCAGAAGAAATGAACTAAGAACAGACTCTGGGTTGTGTTCGTAAATTTCAAGGGCAAGGTGGCGGAGGGCTGTGAAGCTGAGATGATTATGGACGGGAGGTGTACGAGAGGGGAGCGGAAGTCTTGTCTCCAATCGTTCTAAACAAACTGGATCAAGGATGGTTATGCAATGCTCGACAAAATTCGAATGAGCGATTGTTAAATCTAGCTCGCGAAAGCGTCGGGTTTGCGGTTGCATCTCGCTATTAGGCAGCCTGAATGTCTGCTCCGCCAGAGCCATAGTCTGATCATGACCAGACCAAGCATTTCCGCATTTGGATTTCCCCGTTTTCTGAGAGGGTGCATACACTGCAAGTTTCTCCAACCGGGGAGCCAGAGAAACTAAACGACGGAGTGCGATGAATGTAAAATCATGCGGACCTGCATTGTTGACAACGTGAAGCTCCTTGAGAAGAGGCGTTCTAGCAAGGAGTTCTTCCTCGCTATTCAAATTTACATCCCTCCGTCCCATACTCCAATGTTCGATGACAAGCCGGATGTTAGGCGTATGGGTCTCCAACGTACGAAGAAATTTTTCGGGAAATCGGATGTCAGGGATCGAGAAAACGAGCTGGGAAAGATTCTTTGTTCGAGAGACAAGGGAGAGGAAAAGTGTCCAAGTTTCTGGGTCGACGGCCTGAAACCATGGCCTATTTTCTACTCTTTTCCAAAGTCGAAGGTGGCGAATGGCCACTAAGACCCAAGAAAAATCACTTTGCGGGCGCATCCAAGTTTGAATTCGGTCTACGTCCTCGGGTTTTAACCCCTCATTGAGATCGAAAGAGCACTCCCGATAGATGAACGGGAGAGTAATTGAATGAAAGCTGTTGTTGACAACATTGAGAGAAAATATAGTGGGACGGTCAACATCATGAACCTGAGATGAATGGAAAAATGGATGTTAGGAATTAGAAACCCGGACTCCAAGGTAAAGACGTACGAAGTGGACAATTTCGTTCAGGACGTCGTGACTCAGTTTGCGGGACATGCTACAGCAAGAGGATATTGGTTCAGGGTAGCATAGACTGGAAGCGGTATCAGATATAAAAATCAGGAATAGGGATCTCGGGATTGGTAATTGCCAACTGGCAGTAAGTAGTGACTGTGGTCGGAGGAAGAAGAACGTGCCTCGGTAAGCGCTGAAGGTGCTTGCACTTTCCACCGTCTGCTGCATTTCTTGAGATGAGTCGAGCAATTATGATGGAACACATTCCCCTGGAAAGAATGAAGTGCTGCTGCTGCAGAGCTAAAGATGCGAAACAGTGTAGATACAATGCAAATGTAGAGTCTGAGAGAAGCCCAGTGTAAGGATAAATATTGAACAAGGGCGAGAATTATGTAACGTGACTAAACGCGGACCCGTAGGATAAGGTGTTGACTGACACATGGCCATGAATTCCATAAACTGATCGCGGCCTCTGTCTTGTTGGGCAATCACAAGAGGGACTGGTCGATAATCGAAGACAGTATCATGGAAAAAAGATAAATCAAGCGCCGAGACCCTTCTCAACTCATGTCAATGCCTATGGGGCACTAGGATCCTTTAGAGAATATTCAGAAGGCGTGGGATCTGGATTTGTTGGATATGAAGGTCTCAAAGGAGAGAATTTATGAGTCACAGCCCGGCTAGCTCAATCGGATAGAGCGTCAGACTCTTAATCTGAAGGCTGCGAGTTCGACCCTCGCGTTGGGCTAGAGGAAACCCTTTTTTATTTGGCACTCTTTTTCTTCAGTCCGGGATGGCTCGGTTTGTATTAAATAGTACCATCAATTTAAAGTCACAATCCATACAAATCCAGCCAGGACGGTGCATACTAACGCGTTCTTTGACTGTACCCTCTTTCTTTTCCCCTCTACGCTCTTAAGGACACTCGACAGCTAGACAGTAAATTTCCTGTTAAATGTACACTACTACCTCCCTTTGGCGAGTTTGAAAGAACTTATCTGTTCCGAACGGTTCACAACATTCAAATAGCCAAACATAAATTTATGAGCCTTCCTTACATCCATCAAGATCAAATGCTAAGTTCAATATGCACAAGGTAAAGTCAAACGCCGGTCACATTGAAAATACAAAAGTCTGATAGATTGGTACGTTAGGGGAGAATATTGAACAAGCTCCCGTCGCTTGAAGGTATCAGGTCAGATCATGGAGACAGTCAGATGGTCACTCTAACATGTGTATTCCTAGGCAGGAGTGCTCGAGGGTGGAGGCTGCTGGGTGAAAACGACGGTGGTGGTATAGTCCGAAATGAAAGGGGAATGGTCGAGGAGAGTATGGACAACTTTCTTGGCCGTGATAATCGTAGGCTCAGAAATGGTGGCTGCTCCTTGTGAAGCCTGAGGCAACTATTCTGAAGGTGAATGGGAAGCGAAAGGAGGGCTTAAGAAGGATACAAACAGCAAGAGATGAAGAGGTAGCAATCAATGCCACGAGGATAGATTTGAAGAGCATGGTGAAGGATTGACGAAAAATGTTCTGGGAAGGTAAGTGAAGAAAGAAGGACGGACCCAGTCGACTAGTTGTTATAACTTATTCAATATAGGGCAAAAAAATGTATCAATAAAATTCGGCCGTTCAGACGGATCCAAGAAGTTCATTGGCACTACTGTGACTCAACCCGAAGGTTGCAAATTCTAGAGGGCGTGCGTTGTTTAGCATGTCTATCCGCAGTTATACCCACCTAATGGGTCGGAGAAAGAGCGACACAATGTGCTGCGAGGTCCGAAAGACCGCTGAAATACAGACAGGGAGGGATGAAAAGTATGCTACTGCGGATGATATATAGCAACGTTCGGGGTCGGGACAGTAGCTCTTGAGGGGATAATTTTCGAGCATCTACATTGGTTGTACAAAATCGAAACTTACACTATCCTGGAAAGAAAAATGAGACCCCTTTCATTTGAATGAGATTCAAGAAGGCCGTCCTGGATGCCTGTTCGTTTGTTTGAATCTGACATAAAACCTTGACCATATAAGCAAGAGAGATGTGAAAGTTGGACCGGGAAATAAACCCAGAAAGCGGTTGAGTGGTGCCTGCAGACTACGGAATGCAATGCACGTTACAACCGCGAAGACTGTCGGCTCGAATGAATGAGTATGTTGCGAAGCTTCTTTGCGAATGTTAGGCGCTTCTTTCTTGCAGCTTAGCTTCGGCCATCACTACTGAAACCAAAGCATGGCGCGGACAATCGCAGCATCATGCACAGGATTTTCTAAACCACTAAAGTGCCTCTCAAGAAGAGACGGAGGTATTTTTGGTTGATCCGACAGAAAGCACATTACCTCTTCCTCACGCTTTGCGCCCTTGATCTTCATGCTTTTATGCACCGAGCTCCTCAGATATTGCTTCTGCATATAAGCCAGCTATCTTGCTTGCTGAAATTGTAAATTTGTTCCGCAGCCAACACCTGCCCCTCTTCTGTAAAATGTCTTTCTTTTCTACCTTGCCTCAGACCTTTATTCTTCTTGCTACCTCTGCCTTGGTCAGAGCTGCCATTGGTCCTGTCACGGACCTCACTCTCGTTGCAAGTAACGTAGCCCCGGATGGTGATGCATTTGCTCGAGATGGTATGCGCGGCTTTCAAACCCGTTCGTTTAAACTACTTACACCTCAATGTAGCAATCGTATTCTCTGAAGGTGGCTCTGCCGTGGGTCCCCTAATCACTGGAAGCAAAGGAGATGCCTTTCAAATTAATGTGGTGAACAACTTGGACAACTCGAACATGCGCCAGTCCACTTCTATCCATTGGCATGGAATCCTGCAGTCCGGAGGTTTGTCCCTTGCGCATTCACATCGAGAGTTCTTCATTATTTACATGTCTTCCAGGCACCAATTGGGCCGGTATAATCTCTGTCCTGTAAAGTTATGGAAGTTGACTCATTGATCCTCAACTTCTCTAGATGGCCCTGCCTTTGTGACCCAATGCCCAATTGCTCCTCAAGACTCTTTCTTGTATTCGGTTAGTATACAAATTATATTTCATTGCGCGAGCTGAATTTTTTCAGTTCCAAGAAGCTGATCAGGCTGGGACGTTCTGGTATCACAGGTATTTCTCATGCTCTATTCCTTAACAACAGCCACTCACGCTGATTGATTAACTCAGTCACCTTTCCACTCAATATTGCGATGGAGCCCGCGGGCCTTTTGTCATTTACGACACAGCAGTATGGTCTCACTCGCTCCTATCAAATGCTCCTCTGATGTTCCTTCAGGATCCTCACGCCTCTCTTTACGATGTAGACGATGAATCTACTGTCATTACGCTCGCTGACTGGTACCATGCGTTTGCGGAGGTAAACTACTCCGTTTCTTTGCTCTGTCATTCTTCCATTGATCCCTTTTTTTCGCAGACTATTGTCATTGGAGCGTCGGATACTACTCTCATCAATGGTCTTGGTCGATATGCTGGTGATGGGGGAACAGCCTCGAATCTCACCGTTATTTCAGTAGAGCAGGGAAAACGGTATTTGTCTTCTCAATGTCATCTACATTCTCTATCTAAGTCTGTTTCAGCTATCGCCTTCGTTTTATCAACATCGCTTGCGATCCATATTTCACCGTCAGCATTGACGGACACACAAATTTAACCATTATTGAAGCAGATGCAGTCAACACAGTCGAAGTGGCTGTGGATTCTTTCGATGTGAGTGCTCTCTCTATTTCTTTCGCACTCAGTATAATCTGAATCGGTCCAGATTTTTGCTGGACAGCGATACAGCGTCATCCTTACTGCTGACCAAGATGTTGGAAATTACTGTGAGCTCTCATCAGCCAACATTTCACTAAAATTTACACTTTCGAAGGGATTCGCGCCGCACCTCTTGGTGTCAGCACCTTCCAAGGTGGTATCGATTCTGCTATTCTCCGTTACGTTGGGGCTGAGGATGAAGAGCCTACAACCACGCAGGATACAGCATCTAACAAGCTGTCTGAACAAAGTCTTACACCTCTTGAAAATGCTGGTGCTCCTGGTATCCACGTTCGTGGTTCCGCAGACGTTGTCCACACACTCGATATGGCTTTTGTTGGTTCTTCTCTGTCGTTTACCATTGATGGGGCAACATTTACTCCGTATGTGATCTTTCCTAAGGTTCAGAATTCTTCGATTGAAATGCCGTCAGCCCCACCGTTCCGGTGCTAACTCAGATTCTGAGTGGATCACTGACCGCTCAGGAGCTTCTTCCGGAAGGATCATTCATCGAAATTAGCCAGGGTGATATTGTTGAAATCAATCTGCCTGTTTCCAATGTTGCTGCTGTTGGTGGTCCCCATGTAAGCTTCTCGTCTCCCTCTTTCAAAGTTAATATCTGACCCATTGTCAGCCTTTCCATTTGTGAGACAGATACTCCACTCTCTTCGTTTCCATGGCCTCACATATTTAGGCATGGTCATACCTTTGACGTCATCCGTTCTGCCGGCAGTACTTCAGACAACTACGATAATCCAGTATGCCATGTCAAGTACTTCCCCCATCCCAACTAATATTTTCTACCAGCCCCGTCGGGATGTTGTCTCTACTGGAACTTCCAGTACTGATAACGTGACCATTCGTTTCCAGTATGTTTTGTTCTGTTGCTCCTTTTATTTTAACCTTATAGTCTTATTAGAGCAGATAACCCGTAAGTCATGAGCGGTTATTCTTCATTTTTAGCTCACTTTTCGCTAGAGGGCCTTGGTTCCTTCACTGCCACATTGATTGGCACCTTGAGCTTGGCTTTGCGGTATACCACTTACCTAAGGTCGTTCATGCAAAATCTTACTCCATTCTTTCTTCTTTAGATTGTCTTTGCGGAGTCCGCTGATCAGATTGCCTCGTCTGTTACCCCTACTGGTGAGCCATCGTCATCTCACTCCTTCCGTCCAGTACTTAATTCTATAATCTAGATCAATGGGACTCCTTGTGTTCAACGTAAGTGTAGTTTACCATCTGGAGGCCCTTTTTAACGTCCAACAAATAGTTATGATGCTCTCGACTCTTCTCTGCAGTAACCATTCTACGGAACATGTGGGACCCTTGTCCGGAAATAATTGTACCAAAAAGATTCCCATACTCACAAGACTTATTTCCCGTTCCTTTTTCCCTTCATTGCTTTGCCACAATCTCATACAAATAATTCCTCTGCGTACCTCCCGGATATTAAATCATTCATCAAACTTGCCCTACAAGTTTTTGAACTTTTTAAAGATGCCGAAATATGAAGAGAGCTCCAAACATTCGGCTTGGTCGACTGAATCCTCAGGGTGGGTGTCTCGGCAACTTCCCAATAAAAAAAATTCTTTGAATAGGCATCCCGGACAGCTTTAAGGGACAACTCCACTGGACAGTGGGTGTGGTGTTCTGTGTTCTATCAGAGTATGTTCATCCATTGAGCACGCCACAAACCCACCAATAGATTCAGCACGCAATAGAGCCTCTCTCCAAGCCGTTTCTAAAAGTGCTAATGACATTGCGGAAGTTATGGGAGTTGACTTGCTTGTCACGACCAACACGCTCAAAATGCAAGCCAGTAAACACATTAGCTTTTGAGACTGTCAGGGGAAACATGATTGCCAGATCCAGTACGAACCTTATTTGAGGGACGTTTTTATTGGGGTGGCGCTAAACGCCTTAACGGCCGCCCGAAAATGCACCTTGCTTCCCACTTCCTTGGTCTTTCACTGTGTTCACTCGTCAGCGCCCCAATTAAGA